CCATCCGTGACCGAAATCGGAGGTCGAATACCGATCGAGCGTTCGAAAGAATTCTTTCGCACCCTCAATGGCTTTTGTAACTCGTAATGAGACTTAGCCAATGAGGATGGAGAATATCACATATTGACGATTTACTGATTTACACGCACGAAATAAGTTTTCATTCGTAAGCTGGTCAAAGAAGCCGAGAGCCAATCAAATGGCGCGTATCGTCTTTTTTACTTGTGAGGAAAACGATAAATTGAATCGGGAAGTATTATGCTTTTTGACGCGTGGAGCGCACCAATGTCATTCTAATTAATCCTCTCAGGGAATAGTTTCGCTTTTCAAACCACTCTTAAAATGGAAAAATCCGCTCTCAGGACTGTTTAACGAGTCAAACTACTTTCAAACGATGACTGACGAACTTATGTGGAGAATCATGCGGAATAGAAAGCATACAGAGCAAAAACACAAAAGAGAAAACAGCGAGTCGGTTTGTACCAGAAATCTCATTCGTTCGCTGCGCACACCTGTTCGATTTCTGATACTGCTAACTTGTGCGTAAATTACCATACGGACAGACTTTCCTTGAAGTATTCCCTGTCGGTTGAATTGTCATAAGAGATTTTGATTCTAGTTGCGTCTATAATGTCCACAATTTATCCACGGAAATTCAACCACGCGAGCTTGAGAAAATATTGTAAGTCCACTCTCCTCAGGAGGTGATAGAAAACGATCTAATGAAGATGTTGTGGTGCTTTAGAATTTAGACAGACGATCATTTACTTGAAATCAGACCCATTACAATAGTGCTGGAAAAGAAAGAAACTTCGTGTTGCATGAGTCACTTGTTGTGTCCTCCTGATTCAAGGGTGCAGAAAAAAGAATAAGAGAAGATGAAACACTATAAAGACCTTTATTCAGAAGTTTAGCGAAGGATCTGGGGCGGTCGAAACAGGAAATTTAAAACATGAGGGCTTCAAGCTTGTTCTAAAACTCTATCGAAACCCCTTCGATACTCACAAGGAAACCCCTTTTTTTTTTCTTTCATCATCTTCGGTCATATTTGACTAGTTTCGTTTCCATGTTTATGTTTGTTTTGTTTTGTTTTTTGGAGTGTTTATAATATAGTTGTAGTTTTAACTCGACACTAGTATTCTAATAAATTGCCCCATTTTGAATGCAGGAAAAGCCTCTGCTCAAGTTGTTCCAGAGAAATACATAACACTGACAAAAGGAGACATCCTCACTTTGACTTGCAAAGTCAACGAGGAAACAATAAGCGTAATATGGAAAAAAGATGGAGACTCAGTAACAGAGAGAGCAATTATAGATCAAAGATTACATAAACTTGTTATTACTGAAGTTGTGGAAATAGACAATGGTGAATATTCTTGTGAAGCACGTAACAAGCTAGGAACTGTGGCTCGCTCTGTTGTGACAGTAAATGTCAAAAGTAAGTTGTTTAAGCAACCACATATAATTTTAATAATTAACTATGTACGGTCATTTTTATAAAACACACCTCCGCTTTTTATGTTCCTCACAAACTTTTCCAGTGGGTTTTTGGTCTTCTGGGAACTAGAAATTTGAAATGAATTAAATTTGTAAGAAATT